GATGCTGCTTGGCCTGCTGTGTTCATCCAGCTCTGCACCTTGTTATCACTGATATCAGGCTAACTGGTCTGTAATTACCCAGCCTACTTCTGCTGCCCTTCTTGTACAAAGGAGCCACATTAACTATCATCTAGTCATGTGGCACTTTATGTGTGGTCAGAAAAATACTAAATATCTCCACCAGGGTCCTATCAATTTTCTCCCTTGCCTCCCATAGCAGCCTGGGAAACCTCTCTTCAGGCCCTGGAGATTTATGCACTTTTATGACCATTAAAACATCTAATACCTTCTCCTTATTAATCTTAACATGTTCTAGGACCTCACCATCCCAAGTGTAACCCTTGCTATAATGTCTTTCTCCTCTGTGAATATAGATGAAAAATATTTATTTAAGACCTCACCCACGTCCTCTGGCTCCAAGCACAGGTCTCTGATTGGCCCCGCTCTTTCCCTGGTAATTTTAATATACATATAAAATGCTTTTGGATTTTCATAATCCCATCTGCCAAATATATTTTGTGGCTCCTCTTTGCCCTCCTAATTTCGTTTTTAGGCAACTCTCTACACTCTCTATACTTTTGAAGGGCCTCCCCTGCTTTTAATGTGCTGTACTTGACACATATAGATTTACCTGCAAGTAGCTCCTCCAAGTCTATGTTTTCCAGATCCTGTCTAATGATATTCCCAAAATGGTTGCCTACTGAAACTTCAACTATCTGACTGGCTTCATTCCCTAGGATTAGATCTAGCACTGCCCCATCTCTAATAGTACTATCTGCATACTGGCACAAAAAGCTTTTGTGGATTCACTTTAAAAATTCCAACTCGTCTAATTATTTCATCTTAAGGCAACTCCAATTAATGTCACCAATGTTGAAATCCCCTTCATCTTTCTGTGATACGGCTACATACTGCTTCTCTCTCTCCCTCTGACTACTGGCAGGCCCGTACTATAATCTCAGCAAAGTAATTGCTCCTTCTTTATTTCTAAATTCTACCAAGATGGTCTCATTTGAAGACACTCCAGGACATCCTCCCTCATTACTGAATTGATGATTTCCTTTTTTAAGAACGCAATGCCCCACCACTCTAACTCACCTGAAACTTCTATACCCTGGAATGTTGAGCTGTCTGTCCTGCCTTTCCTTCAACCATATCTCAGTGATTGCAACAATATCATATTGCCATGTGCTGATCAGTGCTCTAAATTCAACTGCCTTACCAGTGAAGCTCCTTGTGTAGAAATAGATACAATTTACCTTTCTGGACCTCTCATATGCCTAATCATACCATGTCTTCTCTGCCTACTGGATTGTCCTAGCATTCCTTCTATATCTGATTGGACCTTTTTCACCCACCAACTTCACAATGAGAAGCTCGAAGTGAACTCTTTTACGCATACCCTTGTATTAAGTTTAAGTGTACTTTGAATTTGGATAGTTCAATAACATTGACTTAAATATGGTAAAACATTAGAATGATATAAATATTTTATTTACAATGCAAAACAATCAATACCATGTGAGACAACTATTAACATTTTTCTTCTCTCAGCTGCTGTCGTCTGTGTGACTTTATTAAATCGATTTGATGGTGACCAAATCACAACTCCTCATGAAGTTCTGCTTGAATATCAAAAGTGTCCATGGTGTCGATGTTCATAAAAAAAAACTTTGGCTATACAACTGAAAATATAAAATGTAATTGAAACACTGTCAGTGCAAACAGCAATGTCTCAAACTGTAAATTTTATATAACAATAGAATTCATGGTTTGTATCAGCCTGGTCACATTAATCTAAGGAGATAGCCTGACATCCACTTAATCTTTCATTTAAAATCTGAATTATAAGTTTCCACAGACAGCATGCATAATTTCATAAAATATCACAGATCACAGCATACAAGTCAATATTCAAAGTCTCCAAAAATCCTTCTAAAACTAGGGGCTATGTAAAAAATGTGAACTACTGGTGTTGGCTATCTGCAAATGAAAGATAGTCCTATTTCCTATGTAGTGGGGTTAAGAGTAGGCAAGTCAGTCCTTTGAACCTGTTTAGCTGGATCCTGGAAACATGCTTCTTGCATCTACCCTGTAGAGTCAGAGTCATACCGCACGGAAACAGACCCTTCGGTCCAACCAGTCCATGCCAAACATAATCCCAAACTAAACTAGTCCCACATGCCCGCTCCTGACCCATATCCCTCCAAACCTTTCCTATTCATGTACTTCTACAAATGTCTTTTAAACATTGTGATTGCACCCACATCCACCACTTCCTCAGGAAGTTCATCCCACATGCAAACAACCATCTGTGTAAAAAATTTGCCCCCAAGTCTTTTTTAAATCTCTCTCTTCTCAATTTAAAAATGTGCCCCCAGTCTTGAAATACCCCATCCAAGGGAAAAGACAACTACCATAAACTCTATCTATACCCCTCATTATTTTATAAACTTCTATAAGGTTGACTATCAACCTCCTACTCTACAGTGAAAAAAGTCCCAGCCTATCCAGCCTTTCTTTATAACTCAAGCCTTCCATACCCAGCAATATCCTAGTAAATCTCTTCTGAACCCTCTCGTAGAGCATTGCAAGTTTTTTTTATGCTTCACTGAGATCACTTATTATTCTTTTAAACTTTAGAGAATATAAGACTAGTTTCCTTAATCACTTTTTATAGACTAATCCTGCTTCTTCCATCCTCATACTGGTTTTCATGGGCATTGAATCCCTTCGCTGCAGCAAAGTTTTTTGATGAGTCAGCAAATGTTGAAACTTTTAACTTGAAAGCAACTTTGTACTTCGTTCTTTTTACTGGAGAGTTCATATTGTTCATTATTTACCATGTTATGTGTAGTCATCTCTGTGCATGTGTGTGCAACTCTGGGATGAAAATAGAGACTGACTATTAATTTCAGTACAGCATTTCATAACTGAAAAGGGGAAATCAACTTGTACATCAAGCAACTGCGAGAGCATGACTTTTGGTGCTGAGAAATTTAAGTAAATTTATTTGGTTGATTTGTACACTGCAATCTACATTAACAATTTTTTTACAGTAAGTAATTTAATATAAATATATCTAAAAATATTGTAGTTTGAATGTAGGAAACTTACAAGAAAATAATCTTGATACTTGTGATAAGCTTATCAATTACATCCAAGTACCTTGCTAATCTCAATTTATTTATGATGCATTAAAGGCATAATCCAAATTTAAATGTTACAAGTCCCATTTGACAGTTTAAAAGCAGTTAATGAGGATGGCATATTTCCACATTTACTGCTAAAGACTAAGAGAAATCATTTTTTAAAAGATAATTTCAATTACATGTAAATATATTTATTTTAATTTTTTTTTAAAATTGTTGTTAATAAAAGGTGTTTGACTTTGTGGTTATTTCTTTGGGAGATTTTTTATGTACCATTACATATAAAATATCTATATGACTCAGAATGGTAACAGTTCATGAAATCTTTAAGATCATACATAATCCAATTATCCTACCAAAGAACTTAAATAAATTAAAACAAATAATTACATTCAGTTTTTATAACTCTTTCACAGCAAAATACCCATTTAATTGGGAATCAAACATTTACAAACAGGGTGAAAATAAAATTATCCAAAGGCAAAATTTTCCAGTTGCTAGAAATCTGAAATAAAGATGCAAAATGCTGCAAACACTCAGAAGGTCTGGCAACATCTGGGAGAGAAACAGATGGCTGAATTTTACCAAAAAATTGCATGTGTCACGGAGGGTTGATCTCTGTGAGCCCTAGTGAATTATCTCATGTAATTCTCTGATGGACGCCTCGTTATGCATAAACTATGCCTTCAAAGTGCACTCATGCATTATACTGCACTTACCAACACAGAAAATACTCGCCACTGCCAGGACCTGCTGTGGCTTCCATCACCAGTGCCATATTTAAAGCCCAGCTGCACAGCAGGTCAATTGCTGGAAAGCAAAAATTGCTATTCACAATTGCACTGTGAGAAGAATTGCCCTGGCGATGGCTGACAGAGACAAGCTGCCACCCTGATTTGCTGACAATTCAGAACAAGTCACATCAGACTTGAATGTAACCCTGGGCTGAATTCTGTATTTTTTGACGTCTGAACTGTGTCAGGCTTTTTGGTGCAGAAGGAGGCCAAGGTGTAAAATGAACAGCTGCTACCGTGCAGCCTCAGAAGGTGATCATGAACTTTGCAACCAAATAAATCTTTACAGCTCACCTGACATTACTTTTGCTTCACAGCTGTTATCAGGAATAATTTGTAATGTTAGATGAAATGGTCAAAGTTGCTGGTGGCAAGGATTTTTAGTTGACACACTGGGTCAATGCAGAACTGTTGGTTCACATACAGAATTGTACGGCAACAGAAGTTTTTAACCTGTACTCTATTAGCCTCTATTTAATACTATCGTCCCTTTAAGGGCCTCACATTGCTCACAAGTAGAGCCCACTCTCTCAGAGGAGAAACACCATGCACTCTGCCAACTTTGAATATGTTGGCAGCTATTTTCCATTTCAATTACACATTTGTGATTTGGATGAGGATGGAACGTAACACAGGTAAACTTCACAGAGTAAATATAAACGGAAAGAACTGCAGATGCTAGAATTCAGAAATAAGAACAGAAATTGCTGGAAAAGCTCAGCAGGTTCGACAGCATCTGTGGAGAGAAATCAGAGTTAACGTTTCGAGTCAAATGACCCTTCCTCTGAACTGATGGCAGTCAGATGATGCCAGGCCTGCTGAGATTTTCCATCAATTTCTGCTTTTGTTTCTCATAGAGTAAGTCATAGGCTCAGCCTCTCAGTCTAGGTGATCCCAAACGTTCATGTTACTTTTTAAATTATGGGGAGGCAATAGCCTAGTGGTATTATTGCTGGGCTGTTAATCCAGAGACCTAGATAACATTCTGGGGACCCAGATTCAAATCCCGCCAGGGCAGATGGTGGAATTTGAATTCAATAAAATATTTAGAATTAAGAAACTAATGATGACCAAGAACCCATTGGTCGATTGTCGGAAAAACCCTAGTTCACTAATGTCCTTTAGGAAAGGAAACTGCCATCCTTACCTGGTCTGGCCTACATGTGATTCTAGACCTACAGCAATGTGGTTGACTCTAAACTGCCCTCTAGGCAATTAGGGATGGGCAATAAATGCTGCCTGGCCAGCGACACCCTCATCCCGTAAATGAATGAAGAAAAAAAAAATTGCCCTCCCTGTCAACTCCGTCAGGGTTGATTTTCCCTATGTTCCCAACTAATTCTTTTATTTAGCTGTTTATCTTCACACTTTCTCACCTAAGCCCCAGGCATATAGTATTATACAAAACACTGTCCCCACTGAAGTCAGGGTGGTAATGATCATCAACGACTCCCCTCTCCCCACAATGTCCCTTGCCCTCTCATTGCTCTGTTGCTTCCTATCCTTAGATGTTGAGTGCCCCCTTCAAAGTTATTGCCCTTCATGCATCCCAGCATGCTGCCTTCAATCCTCACAAAGTGACTTCCCCAGCATCCCCACCTCAGCACCAGCTCCTGATAATCACTTTAAGTTTTAGTCAAGAGATCCCCTGCACAGACCATGGCCACTCCCTTTACTGACATGGAAAGACTGCCCCGACTGATGAGTGGCTAGACCCCAACTGATCTCTGTGGAGCTTCCTGAAAGACTTACCACTACATGACTGACTGAAACCCACTCCCAGGATTGCAGTGATATGAACATCCTGACTCTGATCATCCCAAGCACTGACTGTGTCCAAGCCCTTGGAGTGATATTGAATGATGCCCTCGATTACTGTACCAGTATCCACTAACTGAAGGCAGTACCCCTTGACTTGACTGAGGACACATACTGGACTTTGAGACATGGCCATTTGGTTGAAGCACATTGTATGTTGCCGTGTAAGCTGCTGGCACATGCTGCGGTATGACACTGAAATAGCACAGTGTGGTACAGTAACATGTCCACTGCTTTGACTTTTTATTGCAGACAAACATGACAGACTGTCTGGCTTTGTGTCTTCATGAGAAGACAGAAGTACCGTGAGCCTGTAAACTTTGAATGAGGCAGCAAGGTGCATGACAAAGGAAGGAAGATAAGTGCAATGTGAATAAAATCTAAGAAGCTAAGAATCCTGACATGCAGCCTGTTCCGATGCATGTGTCCTGCAGCAACTTTACAATGTAAAGCGTCAATGCATTTCAAAAAGTAATACTGAAATGGAGAACTCTAAGTGAGTCAGAGATGTGCCATGATGATGTCATGAAAATGGTTCATGTCCAATTGCCAACCTCTGTGAATGAAAGATATTTCATTGATTATTGTACAAGGATAGCCAGGTCCCCTTCTTCATCCGTAAATGCCAATATATCACTATTTTAATATAACTGCCTTTCTGTTTCTCACAATAAAGTGTATAACTTCATATTTATCCATTATCCATATTATGTCATGAGTTTGCCCACTCAGTCAACTTATGTAGACCACCCTGAAGCCTCGCTGCATCCTCCTCATGGCTCAACACACAAAACAAGATACAGGAAATTAAGGGACAGCAACTTGTGCTTTACCTCATGGGGAGTTTGGGCACGGGGGTTATTTTACTAAGCAGGAGGGTGGTGGATGGGAATCCCGACATCTTTCCACTTCCACCCTGATTAAGTCTGCGGTGGCAAGGCCCAAGCACGACCTTCCTCCCCAGCTGCCAATTCAGGCTTTACATGAGCAACTTAAGGCCTCATACTGCTGTTGTGAATATTAACTCAGTGACAGGTAGTGTTCTATTACTGATAAGAATTAATAAGAATACATCCTGTGGAATAACACACATCATACCTTTTCATTCTAAACTGCTCCTTTTAACCCCTATCTTTAGACCTCTACCCATGTGGCCACATTTCCCTTCATTCAACATGCTTTGCTATGAGTCTTTTAATTGATGCTCTGTCAAATTCTTTTAAGCTCATTTTAATTTGTTGCTGTTATGTTTAATTCATTTTGTTATATTTTCAAATACTTGAATAAGGTTGGCAATCTTGAGAATAATCGACTTTGTATTACCTGATACCATGTAAACTTGGTTTAAAACAGTTTTCTACTATAATCTTCTCTACCCCATTCCGTTGTTCATAGTTTAAGTTACTGTAAAAAGATTGTTTGAATGAGCTGGCAAATACAGTTTACACTGAAAGAAAACAATGTTACAGATAAACCTGGAGTCATTTTACCTTGAAGTAAATTCAGTCTTTAAAAAGAGTAGACTCCATGTCTCTCCTTGGCGGTCTTGCTGGAGGAATCTTTGATAAAACCTCCCGTGCATAAAATGTATTATGGAGTCCTGCTTCTCGTAGCGCTTGTTCAATTCGAACACGAGGATCAGCTACTACCTACTCAGAAATAAGTACAGTTTATTTTTGATTTTCAAAGACAAATATGAAAGTTAGAACTTTACTGAGAAAACATTGAGTCAGAAATCCGTGGGATGAGGTCCTGAATATGTTTGAAGTCAGTGAGAGGTCACTTCATTTGCATGGACTTGTCAGGTGTTTGTACTAGTACAGGCACATCCGTGTGTTTGAAAATAAAGAATGCTGTTCAGGCAGGAATCAATGGCTACATAATGTTTAGTGGGACAATACACCAATAGGAAGAGGGACAAATTAATCCGGCAAAACTAAACGCCGTAATAATGTGGAACTCCACATAATGCTAGAAGTCATTAGCTTCTAAAAACATTTTTAGAAAAATTACATGACAATTATGTAACTAATGCATTAATCACCTCCTAAATTCTATCCCTAACCCCTCCACACAATGCCATATGGATAGGAAAGGATTCCATTTATAGGATGGACATCTGTTAATGCACAAGACTTACATTTTTGTTACTTCATGATAACAATGTTTTATCCAAAAAATATGGGCCTAGATCTTCTGATAGGAAGATCTCAGACACACACACTCCTCCCACTTCCATTGATCCAACATCCAGGACACAATCCCCACCTTCTCTCATCAGCCTGAACACCAACCTGACTCAAACCCCAATTCTCCCCCTGACCAAACCCCAACCCTTCACAGACCCTCACCTTACTCCTACTACCCAACTAGCAAATGTCAGCCCAAACCCCAATCCATCCTTGGACCCTACTCACTTCCTCTTCAACCAACAACTTCCAATCCACTGTCCAACTGACCCGACCTGACTTCCCACCACTCCTTTGCCCCATCAGCACTGCCCACCTACTCAACAACCTCCAACTACTCCGCTCGACCTGATATCCTCCAATCTACCCTAAACCTTCATCCAGTTACCAGCTACCCTACCCATTTCACCTACCACCACCCATCTGTACCCCAACCTATATGGCACTCTTCCCTTCACCCAGCTTCCATCTGCCACCTGTACACCCTTACTCAATTGGCACTCTATCCCCTCATCCATCTGCCACCCTAATAACCCCACCCCTCCCAAATCCTACATACCTTCTCTCAATATTGCCAAAGTTGCTTTGGACTATAAGCCACTGAATTCTGTAGCTCCTGACACAAACAGAATTGTGGTTTCAGCAGCAATCCTCTCTGTAGCTGCCAACATGGATTCCTGGACTGGGCTGGGAAGGTTTCTGACCCGGAGGCTCACCCCAGTAAAACTCTTCCACAGACACGGTGGGCAACTTTTTGTCTGATCTGGATTGGAAATGGGGATGCCAACCCATATTGGAAAATTGGGCAATGATGTTCAGCCCAGTAGGACTGTCTCACTTAGTTTCACTGACTTAACTGATTATGGCTAAATCATCTCTTATGAAGTCTTTAAACCTTTAGTTCTTGAAATCAGTTAAGATCAATATTTGATCTACTTCTGCTTGTCATCATTCTAGATTCATGGTTCCAAGAAGCCCAGCTCCCCCTCTCCATTTATTATCACACCCATTGCACAGGTATAACATCCAGCTGAGATTTTAATCCTCTGCACTAGAAAGATTGTCTAGTTCAATCTGCATAACATCACCTACCTACATCCTATGTTAACCTTGCTGTGGAACCCCTCTGCATGATCTAACAACTCCCAATGCACCCAGTCAATTTCCCATCCTTCACAAACATCTGCTCATCCAAAATTCCTGTGACAATATCTTATCTCATACCAATTTCAGCTTGTCCACTTGCATTGTTCTCACTGAGTCAATTTACTCATGGGCCCAGATTCCTCAAATTTAAAACTCTCATCAAGCTATAAAACCAATTAGATACTTTCCTAAGCACCCTGTTTGGATATATTAATACAACCTCTGAAATAGGTTGGATTTCATCCCAGGCCTCTTGGTCCAGAGGTCGGGATACTACCACTGCACCAGAATAGCTCTCCTAAAAGTCGCTCATGGCATCAGCGATGTAGCGTCTGTATGTACCAATTCTGCATCAATATCTTACACCTGAACATTCATTCCTTTGACTCTGCCATCTTGTTATCCCCTCTTCTTTTTACCTTTGCTGTTGTGCTTAGACATCTTAACACTATTAATCATGGTATAGAGGTTATGCTAAATATGTAGGGAATACTGGTTTGGACTCAAGTACTGTGCTGCATCCAGTTGGAAGGATGTGAAGGCATTAAGAGAGTGCAGAAATGATTTACGAGAATGTATCCAGAGGCAGGAACTTTAGTTATGGAGACAGGCTGGAGAAGTAGGACTGTTCTCCTTTGAGAAGAGAAGGTTAAGAGGAGATATTATAGAGGTGTTTAAAATCATGAGGGATCCAGATAGGGAAACTCTGTCTCTATTGGTGGAAGGACTGAGAACAAAGTCAGCATGGATTTCAGGTAATTGGCAAAAGGAATAATAGTGACATGAGAAAAAACCTTTTAATGCAGTCTGGAATGCATTGCCTAAGAGTATGGTGGAATCAGATTTAACTGTGGCTTCCAAGAGGGATTTGGGTTATAATTTGGATAGGAAGAATGTACAGGGCTGCAGGAGAAAGCAGAAGGGTGACACTTGATGAATTGCTTCTTTGGAAAGACAGCACAGGCATGACAGGTTAAATGGCTTCCTTCTGTGCTACAGAAATTCTGTGATTCCAGTGCATAAATAACATCTATTGCACCAGAACAACTCTGTTATTCTGTGTAAGTTGCCTAATATAGTCTTCCTCTTTTCCCATGCACAGTGGCATCTGAGGCAGACAAAGTACATGCTTTTGTCTGTTTCAATAGCATGTTTTATTCTTGCTACGTCACAAGCCTGTCACCAGACATTATAGCCTGAGGGAAGCCACTCCATATCAAGCATGGTTGACCAGGAGATGCTCCTACTCTTATAGCCTGTCATTGGCATGTTGGGAGGATTTATACGTTGATAGCCAACCTTGATGGCCATATCATGAATGCATCTTCTGTGGCCATCACACCTTTGAGAAGGACCCAAACCCTGGAGCGTCTGGCTTACAGGCAGGGATGTTACCTACAGTGCTACAAGACTTCCTCTTATATACTATTCCCATTTAAAATCCTCTGTTTTTCCACCAACTTCTCCTCCTGTAAGACCATCCTTTGATCACCTTTACTTCTTTGGCTTAGCATCAATGTTCTTATTAAATATGTATGTTTTTTCAATCTATATACTGCAAGTTATCATTGTTAATTTAGAAAATTGAAAGCTGGCAGCAGAATATCTAAAGGACATACCCAGATATATAATTTTAATTTTTGTTGTGCCATGGTAGAGTTCCTACCTCTGGACCAGGAGGCCCGGGTTCAAGTCCCATCTACACCAGAGGTGTGTTGTAACAACAAATGAACAGGCTGATTAGAAAATATCTATATTTATATGTATAATATATTTCCGGGGTGAGCTGTATTTTATACAAAGGAAATGCTGTTGTGATGTACCTGTTTATCTGTGTATGTGCACAAATGAAATAAAGGCTTTTGGAGTGGAAATTCTTCTTGCGCCCCGATTCCAGTTCGGGCTTTTGATGCTTCTGTGTCACCCATCATCCTGACAGGATCAAACTGAGCAGTGACAGAAAACTGTGAACACAATTAACGCATCAATTTCAATCAGGTGGCCATAATATTTCCTTGCTATATAATGTATAATGTTTAGAAAATGTTATCAAATTATAAGTAAATATTGTCTTGGTTGCAAATATACTTTATCTCTCAAAATTTTAAACTATTTACCTTATTAAATATTGTTCAAATACTCAGAGCACTTTCTAAAATAATGTAATATCTGCAGACCAAATGTACTAAAAGCAGAAGGGTCGAGAAAATAGTTTGTGCAGCACCTGGTTAGCTGATGTAGCTGGGCCAAAATCCTGCAACTCCCTCCCTTAAAGCATTGTGGGTGTACCTATACCAAATGGACTACAATGGCTCAAGAAGACAGCTCAACAACACCTTCTCAAGGGCAATTAAGAATGTGCAGCCCTTTAAAAACGGGGCTAAACGGTTCAAGATGGTGCATAACGCCATGTGTTCTAATGGCTGAAGTGCCAAGTACTCAGCTAGATGCCCATCAGATATTAGGTCCATTGTTTACGTAAATCTGGGAATGAAAGGCAATTCCTACGAATGTCAAACATTTGCGTATTGAATAGAGATTACCACCTGAAATAGACACTGTTTGGTTGCCAAGAGGCAGGTCCCTGTAGAAATGGCAACAGACAAAATGTCTTTATTAACAAGGTAGTGAATATTCCAACCCCATAAAGATGACATTACTACTTTTTTTGGAAACTTAAAATCAATATGGATCTATTCAGAATAATTATTTTGCACTGTGTCCAGTTACCTGGTTTTATCTACCATATAAGGTCCCTATTATAGGCCATTCCTTTTCCCCTCCTTGTCTAATGAAAGGGAGTGGCATCAGTTGGCCATAATGTCAAAACAAATTGATTTTCCTGACAAAATTAATTAGCTTGACTCAGATGAAAAAACAATGAATGAAATAACAGAAATACTGACATTCATGGAAATATATCCCAACATCATTTGGTCATATGGGATATCCCAAAATATCTCACCTCAACAGGAAATTTGACACAATACCTGTCTGAGCACAGTGATAGATGCATCCTGCAAACCAAGCAACATAGACTGAAGGATAGACATTAGACTTAAGAGGGCAAAACAGAATGAAACATCATGGTTTTAACATCAAAGAGAAATTAGATTTTCTATTGGTTGCCATAATCTTATTAGTTAGTTACAAAATCTAGTTAAAAGAAAAGTAAATCAAAGTGGGCGTATTAACGTAAGTGTGAGGCATTGGTTTGTTGTCATACACATCATCTCAAAACCAGCATCATAGTTGTCTGACTAGTTGTTGCATATGCATTACTATAATGCATTTGTATATGATAAGAATTAAAATTTTAATAGAGTGCTAGGCTTTATGGTGAGGTGAAGAATTTTAATTAAAAAACATTAATCAGTACCTTCTGCCAGTAAGCATCAAGACGTTTTTGCCTTTCTTCTTCCTCTTGCATTTGCTGCAAAATTAGTGCTTTCTTTTCTTGACGACGTTTCTGTAACAATTCCTGTCGGTGCTTTACACTATCATTAACAACACAATATATAAACAACATTTTTACAATCTCATGCTAATAAATCCAATGTTGGTGAGGCAGTTAAAATGCCACTCAATGAAACAGATGTCAACCTTTCAAACAACTGTTATACTCCTATCCAGGAAATAGAGGTTTGTATTTGTTGTCCTTCCCTTTTCAAGAATCAACTAGCTTCTCTTTAGTTTCCATCTGAGTGTGTTTGTATTTAAAGGAGAAACGGTTTCAAAGAATTATTTTCTATTATATGATTATTTATTCAAAATAATGGTTTTGGTTACATTAAAGTTGTAAATCTCAGTGGTCCAATAATCCTGTTCCAAATCTATAAATGATTTATACACATAGTATACATAAATGATTTAGACTTGAAGGTAGGAGGGTTGATCGATAAGTTTGAAGATGATACAAAAATTGCCGAGGTGGTAAGCAGTGAGGAAGGTACCCTTAGATTACAGGAGGATACAGATAGTCTGGTGAGGTGGGCGGATCAATGCAAATGGAATTCAATAAGTGTGAGTTGATATACCTGGGCATGACAAATAAACCAAAGGAATACATGATGAACTGTAGGACCTTGGGAAGCATCGAGGATAGAGGAAAATTGGTGTGCACGTCCACAAGTACCTTAAGGTAGGAGGCTAGGCTAATAAAGTGGCTAAGAAGGCATATGAGATACCTGTCTTTATCAACCAAGGAATAGAGTTTAAGAGTGGAGAGGTTATGCTGAAACTGTATAAAATATTGATTAGGTCACAGCTAAAGTATTGTGTGCAGTTCTGGAATCCACATTATAGGAGGGATGTAATTGCACTGGAGAAGTTGCAGAGGTGATTTAACAGGATGCTGCCTGGCCTGGAGAGTTTTAGTTATGAAGACAGACTGGATAAATTATGATTGGTTAGATGGATAGTCTTGGAGAAGAGGAGACTGAGGGAGGACATAATTGAGATATATAAAATTATGAGGGGCCATTGATAGGTTAGACTGGAAAGAACCTATCCTTTTAATGGAGGAATCAATGACCAGGGATACAGATTTAAGGCAAGGAGCAGTAGATTTAGAGGGTAGTGGGAATCTAGAAACCACTGCTTGTAAGGGTTGTGGAAGCAAAAATCCTTAAAACATTTAAGGAGTATTTAGATGTGCACTTTCGATATTATGGCACACAAGGCCATGGGAATGCTGGAAAATGGAATTAGAATAGTTAGATGGTTGTTTTTAACTGGCACAAATTTTTAGACCAAAGGGCCCTTTTCTATACTGTAGACCTCTGAATCTATGACTCTGAATCGTTGCTCTGTCTATACCGTGAGATGCACACTCAACGTCAATTACACTTGTAATTCTTTGCCCAGGTCAATAATTTTCTTCTTCTTCACTGAAGATATGCAATCACATTCACAGTGAGAAACATACTGCATTGAACATTGGTGAGAAAAATAAAGTCTTTTAAAAGGTTCGTATCACTAAAGAGGAATTAAAAAAGCCAATCACATCCACATTGAGAAACATGGTATGTGTGCAGCTCTGAAGTACTGCAGGTATATTGTATTTTGCTACATTGTTGTTCACAACAGAAAAATCAATGGTCTTGAAGGTCAAAAGCAGTAGATGATAGAAGGGAGCATTTAACTTGAGAACTTGCAATTCAACCTTACCGCTCTCTGTCCCTTTCAGCTTGCTCTGCCATTTCGTTTTTCAATTCTCGAAGTCGCTGCTGATGTTTTTGTTCTAATTCTTCCCTCTTACATTGCTTTTCAGCATAGTACTGCTTTATCTAAAAACAAACAGATGAACCATATAAGTTTAGTGAACTCCAATGCATTAAAATGCATTTTCAAAGTGGCCTTGATGTCTGTAGGTAGGGGACTGCCACAAGGGATACACATCAGTAAGTCATGTGAACCAGAGCACAAATATCCAATGCCAAATCTCTGTAGCCATGGTGCTCTGTCATTTGTAGGCATCTGACTCTTTGGCAGTATACCATATGTCCAAGCAACTCTGACCAAATCAATGTAGCCTGAAAAAAATCACAGAGAATGTTGAAGAAACTCACTAGGTCTGGCAGCATCCGTGGAGAGAAACAGACCTGCTAGACCTGGTGAGTTTCTCCGGCATTCTTCATGTTTGTTTCAGATTTCCAGCATCAATAGTATTTCGCTTTTATCAATGTAGCCCAATCTCATCTAAACTCGAACTCCTGCTATTCATTGGTTCACCAGTGTTTCCTCAATACACCTCCAATGCTCAAGTGTTGCCAGCAATCTCATCTTCTGCAGAATTCAACCACTTAAAGTTCTCAAATGTAAGCCTCTCAACACCACTGATGGCAAAATTGTTGCAAAATTGTTATCTGAATTGGATGTCTAAAAGCTGGGAGTAAAAATTTGCTTGGTAAGGGTTCTTTTAACTATTAAAAGAGCAGACTCAGCTGTTTAGGTTTCAATTGTTTTATCTTTTCAAATTTTTCTTTTGTCAATTTTTGTTTGCTATCTGAGTCAAATCTTTCTTTCCCTTTCTCTTTCTATAACTAATTTTTCACTCAGATTTTAATTTTTCATAATCCTTACGCTGCTGATTACACAATCCTTCAATCTGATTAGTTCAGAAGAGATATAAGTGCCTCAGAGATCGTAGGAACTGCAGATGCTGGAGAATCTGAGATAACAAGGTGTAGAGCTGGATGAACACAGCAGGCCAAGCAGCCTTCCTGCTCCTCTGATGCTGC